GGTGACCCTGAATTCACACCTAGGAGCTAAAGGACAAGAGAGAGGGAGAGCGTTTTCCATTAATGTGGGGTCTCCGTGCCATGGACGCGCCCCTCCTGCTCTAATCCTCATCACTTAAGAGCCCAGGCCGTATCTACTTAAAGAGATATTATGCAGGAAATGATATGCAAATGGCTTGTTTATCACGTTGTCAGCCACTTGTTTTGTGGCCTGTCTGCCGTGTGCCATGCTGATCTCTGGCTTAGGGAGGAGCGTAATCTTTTAACGCCTATCTGACAGATTTCTCTATTGTTGTCAGATTTGCAGTGAGACGGGAACTTCGGGGAGCTTCTGTGTTTACTTTTTAAATATCTGAGCAGCAGTTCACCGACTCTGGGAGGTATTTATCCTTATATAACCGCTCAGGCTTCACTAAAGTTACCACCAAATGCATCGTTTTATATGTAAAGAGCCGAATTTGAAGTGTGCTGCATGCATGCTGGGGGTTTTCCTCCTAAGCTGGACACATTGAAAGACCCTTACTAAGCAGATTACCTCAATAAATCTATGTCAGGATGCATTTCTGCCGTGTCTAGTCATGCAAAGAGAGAGCGTGAGAATGCAGACGCAAAACATGTTTACAGTGACAGATGCATCTCTCTCGCTGAGCCGCCGCTAAAGTCGTCAGCACGCTGCTGACATCTGCTGTTAAGGTACATGCAAACGCTACAGAGACAATTAGCTGCGAGATGCTCGTGTGTGAGCGTTAAAGAGAGCAGCCCCGTGGTTGATATGTGAGGATAAAAGAAGCCGCGACAGGAAAAGAATCTTTGGATCCAGAGATATTTAAAGCGCGTTTCCTGTGTTTGACATTTACCTTGGATTAAGGAACAGCATTGTGACTCACAGCTGTCTGAGGTGTAGCATGGGAGTAGGGCTGGCAATGTGTGCTGGAGGGGGTGGAGGAGGAGGTGGAGGTGGAGGAGGTGGGGAGGCCAGATGTTGCCCTCCTACCACGGGGAATAAACTCTATCACTCACACCACAGGTGGTGGGAAAAAAAGGGGGGGGGAGAGAAAGGGAGAAGAGAACGAGTAAGTGACAAACAACGGCAAACAGGAAGCGGAGACCTTACAACACAATGCTCACACAGTTTCCTGCAGGCTCAGACAGATAAGGAGCAACACTTTGTTTAAAGCCGTATTTTCACCCACAAACGTTTCCCGCGCTGCGAAACCACATCGCACAATGTGAGCGCGATTCTCCTGCAGTACAGCTGGAGCAGAAAATGTGGATTGTTGGAGGTGAAAAAAGCAAAATCCAAAATATTGCAAGATGATATAACCTCAGCAGTTGATGCAAAATACAGTAAGATGCTGTCTATTGTTATTGTGGCAATGCAGGCCTGATTTGTAATGTCAGTAAACAATAACAAAAACTCCTGTGTGAAGATGATCTGCAAGCTTAATCATTACACATAAGACTGTAGCTGCACCGCTACCCATGCATTTCCCATCTGCATAAACCCAATCGTAAATCCTCTGGTTTTGCATCACAAATATTTCCGTGCAAAAGCGGCAGAACAAGTTGTTTTTTTGATCCAAGCTGGCTACTGAGACGTCTAAGGATCAGCAGCATGACACTGTCGCCTTGCTAGTTTTGCATTTTTGTGTGCAAACACAAGTCAAATGCATGAGAGAATTTTACAAGTAAGCACAGAGATAGATATTCTCTCACTAGCAGCCACTATAAGATGCACATCAGGTCATAAGAAGTAAATCAGAGCTACATATCGGATCAAAACCCTGGAAGATTTCTTGCAGCTCAATGCATACGTGAGAGCTTTTGCAAGAGGAATCCTCAGGCTTTGATTTCCAGTAACTACATCACGTTATCTGTGTGTATTTATGAACCCGCTCACCCTGAAAAAGCGACAGGATGAACCACAGCCGATGACGCTGCTGCTATAAACCGGAGCTGATGACAGCCTAACAATGCCCTCCCAGCTGTGCCCTTTGCCCTCTACATGGACGAGTACAACTGGGCTCCAGCGTCTCCAGAAAAATCAGTTTATAAATTGAAATGGCACGAACAATAACACAACATGGCAACCTATTGTGGGTGAAACAAACATGTCCGTCACACTGGAGCTGCTGAGCGATGATATTAAGGTAGCCTGGATGTTAAACATAGAAGTCACACTGCATCTTACTGTCCAGTGCACATGTTTTAGGCCGTCATTAGTTCATTATAACGAGCTTACATATTCATTTATCTTTATTAGTTGTAGCAGTACTCGTCTCTTTATTAGGATAAAGCAAGACAATACAGGAAATGTGTCCACAGTATTCAAAACACACAAGTAAAAATCAAAAATGGCTCCTGCAGTCAGAAGTTAGAGCGACCTCACTTGGCATGAGCACATCTTGAACCCTCTCAGGTCGACTATCTTGAGGTTACCTCAAGTGTCCTTGTGGTGTAATGTACCAATCTTCCCTCAGCACTTCTCGTTGCTCTTCCTTAGACTTGGGCTGTCTTTTAGTTTTTTGTCTCTGTCCTTATCTTCCCAAACCAGTTTTACAACGATCCGCTCTGAATCTGATTATTTCAGTTGGTATTTTCACCAGATGTGACCTCACTGCCTCATTATTGTGTTGAGAAATAAACCTGTTCACAATCAGACGCTTTCCATAAGGAATAGCAAGATCAATCAGAATTAGTTTGTACTTGTCAACATTAGTGATTCTGTCAGTTCGGATGATATCCCAACACCACTAGCAGATTTGCAGCCCCTGACAGAACCTCCACCATGTTTCATTAAATGCTGCATGCTGTCTTGTACCAAACTCCCACTCTTACACAATGTCGACGAATGGAACCAAATATTTCAAACTCTGATCATCACTCCACTTATACTCTTTTCTATTGAGCTTCACCCCAGTCTTGCATATTTCAGGATCCTTTACCTGTTCTCTCCCTCGAAATAAAAAAGTCGCCATCCTTCCTCAAAGGTCATTCCGGATCAAACTTCTGCAGACTTTATAAGGATCAACTTGGCATCCAGATAAAGCTGTAGGTACTCAGCCAGTTCTTTGGTTGTCGTCTTCCAAGCTCTCAAAGTAGAATCCATCAGAAACTTCTTTTTACTTGGCCTTACGCTCATTTTGTCCCTCACCACCAACTGCTTGAATGCAACGTCTTGAGTGTCCAGTCCGTTTGCGGATACATAACTCTAACTGTAAGGCTGTCATCATGTGTAATCTTTGGCATTTTGAAGTTAATGGCATGAGTGCCATTTGATTGTATGTATTGGCAAGCTTCCAGTGAGCTGAACTCTTACATCTTGTGTGTGCAATGCTCAAAAACATGGATTAAAACCTCACTTAGCATTATACAGCCATTACAAAAATCAATCAATCAGTCAATCAGACTTTGTTTGTGCAGCTCTTTTCATACAAATAGAATTTGATGCAAAGCACCAGGAATAAAAACAAGCAAAATGTAAAACAATGCCCCATCAACACTTTTATAAATATTAAAGTATAAAGAAAGGACTCAAAGAAAGAAAGAAGAAAATAAAAGGGGAGAACTGAGGACATACCATAATAAATTAATTATTGAAATGAGGAAACACCAGATGCAGAATGATTAAAAATTCTAAAAAGGAAAATAAGACAAAAATAAAAGTGAAGAAAAAGAAATAAAAATAGATGAAAATGTCTAAATAAAGAAAGAAATCAAATCAATAATAAGAATAAGAACAAAAAATTAAAGAAAAGACAAACAGCAAAAGTGAGATTATAAAGGCTGGTCTTGAGATTGCTTTTAAAATTGTCAGCCCTCTCTGCTGCTCTCAGGTCTTTATGAGGCTGTTCCAGGGATGTGAACCTCGATAACAAAAGGCTGAGTCACTGTGGGGTTTTTGTTCAAACTTCTGGTTTAATTAAATGTTCACCGCCAGGAGACCTGAGAAATCCAGAGGGTTCTGAGGATAAAATCAAATCTGATAAATAGGTAGAGCCGTTCAGAGCTTTACAAACCAGTAAAAGGATCTAAAAATAAAAAATAAATCAACTCTAAAGCAGACAGGTAGCCATGCAGAGACTTTACAGCTGGTTCCTTTTCTGATCCGAGAGTCAACACCTGGTGAATTTTGAAGACCAGATAAGAGAGCGGTAATAAAAACAAGTAGTAGTGAAGCAGCTCAGTCAATAAGACTCTCATATTATCAGTCTGGGACATGTTTAGTCAAAGAAAAAGGCCACAAAAGTAGTTTTTATCTGAGTTGTGTGTGTTTTTTTTATAGTCTGTGCTGTATACTGTGGTTGTATCAGGATACACAGACGGAGAAATGTGGGCATTAAACTCGCTAAAATAAAAAAACCCGATGCTACGTTTGCAGATTGCAGCTAAAGAGTTATTAATGTGTCTAACTAATTACATCTCAACCTCCAATTGTGAAAGAAGAAAAATATGTTGTCCACAGAGGAAGCTGCTGGAGCAACACTCCCCTCTACTGGCCCGTAGCCGTACTACACCCTGCTGGTAATTAATTTGATGAGCAGAGACGTGATCCCTTTTGAAATCAGCTCCTGCTTCGTCCTACTATGATATATGACTGATCACGTTTAAAAATATGTCACAGATGGCCGTCATTGTGTTTTAAATTTTACAATATTCTCCTTCTAGTGCAGCCTGTAGAGTTAGTTTCAGCTCCACATACTAACAAACAACTGACAACTATACTCTGTTGCGCTGCTGCTGGACTTTTAAGGTCACATCAGCTGACCTTTCCCAGTTTGCTCTGCCCAGCCTCAGTGGGAGTGACCATGTAAATCAGCATCAAAGGGAACAGTCAAAGTGTTGAGAGGGGAGCGTCTGATTGGCCGCCTTTGTTCTTTCAAAAATCGAGGTGGTCTTCTCCCTCCCGGGGGGGACGGGGAGGACATGTGTTACAGTATCGCTGCGCTCCTGCATGGCCTCACACGCTGCTGGGACCATGGAGTACTAACGTGGGGAAAGATGGACTGGCAGAGACGTGACAAAGCTCCCAGGCTGAGAGAGGAGCTGAGCTGCATGCTGGTGGGCGATGGAGCCGTGGGGAAGACCAGCATGATCATCAGCTACGTCTTCAACGGGTACAACACAGACTACAGGCAGACGGCGTTTGATGTTTTCACCGGTAAGAGAAGCTTTTATTTATTTATCCTCTTTGTAGTGTTGCTGTTTGACTCTGAGTGTTTGTTTGTGTCTGATCTGCAGGTTTGGTTCATGTGAATGGAATCCCAACTCGGATCAAACTGATCGACACAGCAGGACAGGTAAATACCACTCATCTTTTAGTGAGGTCACTGTGATCTTCAATACTCATAATTCGATCTTTCAGGAGGAGTTCGGCCACCTCCGCTCCCTGTGCTACGCCCACGTGGACGTCTTCATCCTGTGCTTCAGCCTCGTCAACCCCGTGTCCTTCCACAACATCACCTCCAAGTGGATCCCGCAGATCCGAGCCGGGAATCCCACTTCTCCCATCGTTCTGGTTGGAACTCAGTCCGATCTTCGCCACAATGCCGACGTCCTCATCCGTCTGGCCCAGCGGAGCGCCACGCCGGTGCGCCTCAGACAAGCCAGACGTCTCGCACACAGGATCAGAGCTCACGACTACGTGGAGTGTTCGGCTCTGACCCAACACAACCTCAAAGACGTGTTTGACTGCGCCGTGTTTGCTGCCATCCAGCATAAGCACAGTGGAGCTAAATCCAGAAAGCTCAGCCTGCTTAAACGCTTGAAGTCCTTCTGCGATTGTGGATGGAGGAAGTTCTTCAGATTCGTCTGATGGGAAAGCATCTCTCTGCAAAATATGGATTGTGCACCAAAAGAACAGGACTTACAAGCTGCACTGATGACCGGCTTCACTGAACTCATTCCTTGACACGTTCTGCTCTTTGTATGTTTACTGTCCTCAGTTTCACATTTAGTTCATCCCTGTTTGTATTCATATTTGTGTGTGTGTGTGTGTTTTGTACGTTTGTAAATGTTGTAATAAATGCACTACGCTGTAAGACACATCTAATGGTCTGCTGGTTTGTTTTGCTCTAATGAGTAATTCTGAAAACATCAAACTGGAAGGTTCTTCTTTAGAAGCGACTGTCAGCGCAGAAATGGAGGGAAAACACAAAGTGCTATTTGGGACAAATGGTCACCTGCTGACACATTGAAGTGCTACTTTACAAGACAAAGGCCAGTTTAAATCCATCCTCTGTTTGGAAGCTTGTGATGGGGCTTGTTTTCAACAACTGCTTTCAAAGCACCCACCAGCATTTTCTTTGTTGAAGTGATGATTGAAGATGGATTTTTAATTACGGTCATTAGTCAATCTGATAAATACTTCACTGTTAGTTCAGGTCAAGTCACTGCTGTCAAGACAACACTTTATGAGTATCGGCTGTGGCGCCAAATTGTTTAACTACAAAATAAGATTGGCCTTATGAATTAATTTAACAAGGTTAAGCCCTGCAGTGTTGTTTATGGTGTGGATTTACAAGAACAATGGTAATGCTAAGGGTTAAAACCCCACAACGCTGACTCATAACGCAACAACAACAATGACACCATGTTGTTATTTTACAGTATCGTTTTTTGAAAGAACACACAATTAAATAAAACTGAGTAGATTGAAATAAAACACACAGACACACACGTAAAAATTATGAAGACCGATGGAAGACGAGCTGCTGCCTTGCAGAAGTTAATGGGGATCTTAACCCTATTTAGGACTTTGGGGGTCTTTTGGACCCCAGGCCATTTGATTTAGGTGACAGGTATTGTTTGTTTATTTTTGAAGATTTTTTAAAATATATATGTATATAAAAAGAGGGACATTTGTCATGTATTTGGAACCAAACATATGTCAACTTATCAGAAAATGTATTTAACATAGTACAAAAGTCTATAATGAATACCAACAAATATTTTTGCACCTATTCTTTCTCGGGGTCCAATGGACCCCGAAAGACCTCCTACATATGGCAACAGGAAAGTAGGTAAGGGCTAATAAACAAACAAATGAACAAAAACACAGACTTAGTCAAACTATTGAAATTTTGTTGTTTTTTAAAAAACAATATATTATATTATATTAAATTAAATTAAATTAAATTAAATTAAATTATATTATATTATATTATATTATATTATATTATATTATATTATATTATATTATATTATATTATATACATGTACAAGTGCTACAGTAGCATTTATTTTTATTTTACTTTATTTTATTTTATTTTTTTATTTTATTGTCGTTCTTGACAAAAAAAAAGACAAAAAAACAAACAAAAAAACTTTAAAATTGTATTCTGTTTTTCCTGCTTGCTTTTTTTTTAAAAATTCTTTTTTTTAATTTCATTTTTTATACTCTTATATAACTATTTATTTTGTGCAACCGTGATAAAAACAATTCCCCTTGTGGATCAATAAAGTTTATCTCAGGCTAAGTGTAACCTTAACAGGACCCTGTGTCTCGTAGAACTACGTTTCCCAGCATGCCCCGGCCCTTCACCCTCCTCTGACCCTGTGACTGAAAATAATCTGATCAGCTGATCTGACCTGGCAACAAAATAACGTAGCTAGAGAGATCTGCCAGGGAGGGGGCTGAAGAACAAAACAATGACACTGCTCGGAAGGATTTAAACACACTAACACTTTTAAAGACTTTTTTAAAAACGGAATTGCGCGGATTTCCCTCCCGGTTCAAAGCAAACAAGTCCGCGGAAACCCGAGCTTTGGCCACCAACTGGCTGTTGTTTTTGTTGATATGTTGTTCCAGCTCAGTTGACAGACTGGAGGCTAGCTGCTTGTTTGGACGGCTGTGAGCTGCTGGGGTTTGCTGGCTCGCTAATTACAGCTCTTCTTTGGGGGAAAAAAAAGTTGAAAGTGTCCGTCGAAACTAGCTAGCCGTAAGCTAAGTATTCCTGTTTGGATGCCAAATCATCTGCCGAATTTGCCAGCGAAGCTATTGAGGGTCAGTTTGCTAAGCTAGCCTGTTGTTAGCATCAACATTTGCACATTCATTTTTTGTTGTTGTTGTTTTTTAATTTTCAGGGAGTTCATTGTCTCGGTTGGTACCGGCTACCTGCACATATTTCTGGATTATTTCACCGTGTTCTGACCAACGTTAGGTATATTTTTATGTAATGTTGTCGCTGAATGCTAACTTTACTGCACGAACAAGCTAACTGTTAAGTGTTAAGGTACAAGGCGTAACTCAAGGAGACGGCTGTTGCTACTTTATCGTGTTAGTTGCACTAAATCACATTGTGTAAACCCGTTTTAAGCGTTTGAATTTGTCTACTTGTCTAGTTGTCCCAGCCAGTGTTATCACCAGCCCTGTTAACATGCAGCTGTCTTAACTTTTATCTCACAGTATTTGCTCATTTCAGTTCTCAGTGTTACTGCACGTCCCGAATCTTTTCATTGTCTGCTGTTGGAAATAGCTTGTTGCTGTCGTAAAAGCTGCTCCAATCAGCACCGGTCTGTATTCAAGTTCACCTTGTAGGAAACGATGAGTGGGCATGGCTCATCTTCAGAAAAGGGAGTTAATACCAGTCTAATATGTCAGGAGAGTTATTCCTGTGGTGGCTCTGAGGAGGCTGCGTTCGAGTGTGATGAGTGCAGGAGCCTGCAGTGTGTTCGCTGTGAGCTGGAGCTCCACAGCCAGGAGCGCCTGAAGAACCACGAGAGGGTCCAGATAGGTCCCGGGCATGTCCCTTACTGTGACAACTGTAAAGGAGGTAATGGGGATGGTAGCAAACGCCTCAGGTCCGTGGTGCGCTGCCAGAACTGCAAAGTTAACTTGTGCCAAGACTGTCAGAAGCGCACCCACAGCGGAGGCAACAAGAAGAAACACCAGCTTACATCGTACCCTCCGCCGCCTAAACCCGCTGAGGTCAAATCTGTGCAGACGTCCGTCCAGCCCGCCGTTCAAATAGCCGACGAGACCAAATCTCAGAGAGCGAAGCTTCTGGAGAAGGTGTCCAGTTTTCTCCTGGTTGACGAGAATGAGGAAATGCAGGTGAGTTGTGCAAACGACAGAATAAATACAACAAAAAGGTCCAATTTCTCATAATTCTGACTTGTGAACTCTTCATTGCTCAGATCAAAGACGACGCCTCCTTCATGAAGAGCCTCAGCTGCAACCCCGACCAGCTGCTGAAGGTGGTGTCCATCTTCGGCAACACGGGAGAGGGCAAGTCCCACACCCTGAACCACACCTTCTTCATGGGCCGAGAGGTGTTCAAGACTTCTCCCACGCAAGAGTCGTGCACGGTGGGCGTGTGGGCGGCGTTCGACCCCATCCACAAAGTGGTGGTCATCGACACCGAGGGGCTCCTGGGGAACAGCTCCAAGCAGGGCCAGAGAACCCGTCTCTTGCTCAAGGTGCTCGCCATCTCCGACCTGATCATCTACCGCACCCATGCTGACCGTCTCCACGACGACCTGTTCAAGTTCCTGGGCGACGCCTCGGACGCCTATTTGAAGCATTTCACCAAGGAGCTGAAGGCCACGACGGCCCGCTGCGGCCTGGACGTCCCGCTGTCCACCTTGGGCCCCGCGGTGGTCATCTTCCATGAAACGGTCCACACCAAGCTGCTGGGTTCAGGTAAAACACATTTTAATGGGTGTCATAATTGTAACCAGAATATTTCTTAAAATCTTCCTTTAGAAGAGCAGGACTGGATCATTGTCGTTATCCAGGAATAGAAGCTGCCCCTTTAAAGTAAACTAAGGGGTTAAGCACTGCAAATAATTACAGGTTCAGTAAATATTAGCCTGCAGTGTTTTTCTCTCCGTCTTCTGTGTCACTTAAGGTAGCATTCCAAGTTTTGGAGAAATGTGGAAACTCTGCTTTTTGCACTACAAAGAACACTAACGGTCAAAACACACTTTTATGGCTGCAGTCAGACCAGTTTTGACACATTTACATCCACTTTCTGCAGCTTGTTTTGTACCTTTCTGTCATTTTGCTATGCATTTAAACACCACAACTGTTTTTTTTTATTACTTTGAGGAGCTACTGGTTCCCGTTCTGTTGATTAGGGTGTGAAAATCAACCTGCAGAGACTTGCAATTTGCTTTAATCAGAAAAGCCCTGTTTGTGAGTAACTGTCGTCTCCTGTTGTCGTCGTCGCTGAATGCTGTTAATGCAGGGAGCTTTGAGTAGCCCAGAAATTGATGGGAACTAACTCCTGCTTGTGATGGAGAGAAAAACATTTAAAATATGTTTGTGTTGGAATGTATAGGGCACATTCTTTGTAGTGCTAAAACATGAAGGGACGCCGGTGTGAGCTGTGAGTAAGCTGTGTGTGTGTCGTAGGGCGGTGCAGTGTATCTATTGAGCCTTCACAGGGTGAGGTCATCACATCACAGAAAGTCATCATGGTGCAACTTTTTGTTGCTGCTTGATACAACAACATACATATTTGTGTCTGATTACAAAGGATGTTTTTTAACAAGTCATCGAGTCATGCAGGCTGAACGTGTGCACAGACAAATGAGTCAGCAACAGGAGAGAAACATCGAAAAGGAAGATTTGGTAGCTGTATGGAAGTAGTTTGGCTACAGAAAAATGACCAAAAACAGGGCAGTTGTTGCTGCTACATGGGGCAACACGACTAATTTGACTATTTAAGCCAGATCTGTGTGCCACAAAAAGCAAAAAACGAATATTTTGGAAGCCTTTATCAGTTGTTGTGCTCTGTAAGAAAGGCTTCAAATGTCTGTTTCCAGCTTTTCCTGATTTTTTAAATTTATTTTCTATGCAGATGCACTTCCATATAAACTTACACCATCATTCTAGAATCATTATTCTCACCAGTAGTTCATGCAGGAACACGAAAGCAGCGTCTCTGCGTTTTGGTTTATTGGTTTATAACCAATCGTCAACCACAGATTTTATCAACTGTGTCAACACAAGCTAATGGTTTATGTACTTCATCTTGTGATCACTGTCAGCGGTAACCGTCCCACCTTTGTCCTTCTACAGAGAAGTCGTCTGAGTCCGTAGACCGGCTGCTGTTGGAGCGCTTCAAGAAGCTTTCCCGTTTCCCAGAGGCCTTCAGCTCTGTCCAGTACTGGGGCACGCAGACTCTCAGTCCCCCGACCGACTTCCGTGGCCTGCAGAACAAACTGGAGCAGCTGCTGGACAACAACGCCACCCGCTCCCCGCGCACCCCGGTGGTCATCTTCAAAGCCCTGCAGGTAGGGCGGCTTAAAGTTCAGAAGTCAGCTGGCTTCCAACCTGCTTCAGATGGTTGTGTTGTTGAAAGGGAGTGCACTTAATACTGAATGCAGTTCAGACTGATTTATCGTTAAGGGTAGCTACATTTGAATAGCTTCAGTTGTAATTGTATAGGTTTTATGTTAATGCGGCCTGATCCCTGATTTCCCTTCAGGCGCTGAGCGAGCGCTTCAACGGGGAGATTGCAGGTGAGCTGGTAGCGCACAGCTGCTTCTTTCCTGATGAGTACTTCACCTGCTCCAGCTTGTGCCTCAGTTGTGGGTCAGTACTTCTTGTTTTCTTCTTTTTAAATTTGCCTTTATTATTTCCCCTTAAATCTCTCACCGTTGCTATTAGCAATCTGACTCATTGCATTCACCGCAGATCTGGCTGTAAGAACAGCATGAACCACTTAGGAGAAGGAGTGTGCCACGATGCGAAGCACCGCTGTCGTTATTCTGCTCAGTATGATAATCGCATTTACACCTGTAAGGTAAGGATGGTGATCGCTGATCTTTTTAAAACACACTGTAATTTATCTTGTTCTACTGCTGATGAGCCTGAAGTTGAAATAATTACGTGGTGCGTCACCTCAGGCTTGCTACGAAGGAGGAAAGGAAGTAATAGTTGTCCCAAAGACCTCGGCTTCCTCAGACTCTCCATGGATGGGCCTCGCCAAATACGCCTGGTCTGGGTGAGTAGCACTGGAATGACCTGCAGGGCCTCGTAACTAGGTTTGGGTTTGGGTTACGTTACCTTTACACAGGCTAATTTTAGCGCTGGTGTTCCAGACGCTGACCTAATCTAAATTTTCTGTTCCTTCTAACATGCATGTCCCACAGCAAATCAAACATCAAATGTGTTAACACTCATATTGTCACCGACACCGAGCTGTGTTTTTAAATGTGCGTTCAGGTATGTTATTGAATGTCCCAACTGCGGAGTGATCTATCGGAGCCGTCAGTACTGGTACGGGAACCAGGACCCAGTGGATACAGTTGTGCGCACAGAAATCCAGCATGTTTGGCCAGGAGTAAGTGAAACCAGCCTGTGTGTGGTTTAGACGACATTTACTTAATTATCCATCATCGTACAGACGTAGAATTACGCTTATAGATTTGCACGCTTGAGCCGTAAAAGCCGGTCTGTTTTTTCGCAGTCGGACGGCTTCTTAAAGGACAATAGCAATGCTGCACAGCGGCTTCTGGATGGAGTCAACCTAGTGGCCCAGTCTGTGTCAGAGCTCAGTGTCAAACCTGCCAAGGCCGTCACCTCTTGGCTGACAGATCAGATCGCCCCAGCCTACTGGAAACCCAACTCCCTCATCTTGGTGAGTGACACACACAGCCCCACCCTCTGCCACCCGCTACCAACAGCCAAGTCAACACTTTCATGTCCAGAGGGATGTTTACTGTCTGTGGTGTTGTGTGCCTATTACACAATCCATGTTTGCAGGTCACAAGATAAAACTTGGATAGATTCAGGTTACGTCGTTTTCTCTTTAGCTCTCGGTCAATAACAACACGAGCTGTTATTGTTTTTTTCCTCTCGTACAAGGTGTGCCATAAGTGTCACGCAGTCTTCCAGGATAACGACACCAAGCATCACTGCCGTGCCTGTGGGGAGGGCTTCTGTGATGGCTGCTCTTCCAAAGCTGCGCCCGTCCCTGAGAGAGGCTGGGGTCTTGCCCCTGTCAGAGTGTGTGATGTGTGCTTTGAGCAGAGAGCTTCATATGCAGGTACACACATCCTCTCTCTCTCAGTAACGCCTAATGTACTCTGTATCTCTTATTTCTTGTCTTATGCTTCCATTTAACATTCTCATGGCTTCAGCTTTTTTTTTTTTCTTGATGCAGAAATAATTGAGGCGGAGCTCGAGGAGGAAGAAGGTGGAACTCTGGCCAGGAAGGTTGGAGAAGCAGTCACCAACACCTTCGGGGTCGTCGTCACTGCTATCGACATCCCTCTTGGTGAGCATTGGCCAAAACTAAACCTAAAGAGGATTGTTATGTAAGAGGAATAAATGACCCAGTAAATGTGAGTGCATGACTACAATGCCCTCTGGTGGCAGAGGCATATCGTCCCTGTTTTCCTGTTTTCTGGAAGGAACTCCTCTTTCTAGTTTTGGAATGTCAAAGATTTTTATGCAGGAGTCAAGCCAGCAACACTCCTCTTATAGGGAGTATTGGATGCTCTATTAGCCTAGTTGTAACATATCTCATTTAACTAGCTGTAGATCAAGCAAAATGCCAGATAACAGGAAACACTAGATCTGTGTGATAAATAATATATTGGACAAATATTTGTTTATTTGTTTATTTAGACGGGACAGTGCGTATTGATGTACGTACAATCTCAGGTTGCAGTAAATTAGCACAAGGCTAATTTCCATCCGGTGTCCCACACACGTAAAAGAGGAAACACATGTGGATATGAACGTCTAAAAGAGTTTAATTTCATGTCTAGCCTGTTGTTGGACGAGGCAATTGGAAGTTAGTGGCTGCAAAATTGTTAACATTCAATCAAGATAATCAGTCAGTATTTATTTCATGCCTCTTCTTCAGTGCGCCTGTCTCCACACCAGGTGCTTTCACTTATGTAGATAGTAAATAGATTCAGATAAATGGCAATAAAATTATTAAGTTTTGTTTGTTTATTCAGAATTTGAATTCGTCTGTAGCAAAAAAAGTCAAAATTAATTTTAAAATACTTGTACGTAACAGAACCTAAAAGATTCGACCTTGGACATTCTCCTCAGGGTGTATAGGGGATTAATTAAGTTATTTGAATTTAACTGTGACAACATTGTAATATCAAAGTGTTGTGTGGTTTAACGTTTAACACAGGCTTTCAGTTTGTGCAGTTACTGGTCAGTGTTTATGAATAGATGCGGCCGGTTTCCTGCTTCTGTTCACTTCGTTTGATTGGACTTTCTGCTGAGAACTCACCTTTGCGGTTAATGATGATATCGGTCACTACTCTAGATTAATCCATAAACTTCCCACTAACCGATATGACACATATTTTAAACTGAGAAAACCGGCTCTACATTTTCATACTCACTCAAATAAAGACCACAAACATAGCCTTATGTCTTCATCAGACTCGGTAAGCTTGAATCTTTTGTTTGTTCCAAAGCCTACATTGATTATTCATACATGTATTGAAGTGCTACATGAGCCTGTTGATGGCCTGTGTTTACTCCTAAAGGGCACCGACGAATATGTTTCTGATAACCTGATATCCTGCTGAAAACGTTTCCATATCTGTGACCACCCCCCAAAATACCTCACAGCGAGTCGTGCTCCAATCACAACAAAATTAGCCCACTTACTTCCCAGTCCAAATCTTGTTTCAACGTTTCCATGGTAACCCGAACCTAGACAGCTAAGGACTTCATTTTACTTGGCATTACGGTGCACTTCAGACAGCGCTGAGAAAAAATAATCACGGGCAAAGCTCAAGTGAATGCAAATAAATGTAGGCACAGGAGCATAAAGCGGTATTTTAATTAGCAGGGACGGGAGGAAACAATGAGAGAGACTGAACACGTGTGTGTGTGTGTGTGTGTGCATGTAAATTCTAGGAATCTTTGGGAAATATGCATTTTGGAGGGTGTCTGTCTTGGCTGGGAGCGGTTGCCACTCAGCCAGCAGAGAAACTCAAAGAAGACAGCCAAGAAAATGTGGGGAACATAGCCCTCATAAAACCAAACACGTTGTCGATTTTACACTCAATATTTCGTACGAGTTAATCAAAGATACAAGATGCTAAATAGTGAGCGTTGGAGGTTGCTGTAGGTGGTTAGTTTTTTACCTTCAGACGGAGCCAGGCTGCCTTTTCCCTGCTGTTGTCAGTTTTGTATTGGTGAAACAAAGCAAAGGAACTCTTGGCTGTAGCGTCGTATTCACTTTGCACACATGTGAGCGTACATCATGCACATGCGAGCGTGCTGTCGTTGTGTATTCACGTTCCGTCTTCCCTCCAGGCCTAGTGAAAGACGCAGCTCGTCCTGCCTACTGGGTGCCTGACCAGGACATCCTGTCCTGCCACAACTGCCAACGTGAGTTCACTGCCAAGCTGTCCAAGCACCACTGCCGCGCCTGTGGCCAAGGAGTGTGCGACGAGTGCTCCGCGGAGCGCCGAGCGGTCCCATCGCGTGGCTGGGACCACCCCGTGCGAGTGTGCACCAACTGCAACCAGAAACCCGGAGAACTTTAACAGGGGCGGCTTTCCTTTTCCTCAGAGCACCAGAGAGAACCACTCACTCACTCACTCAGCTCGCAGTCTGTCACTGCTCCAGTATACCTCCGTTACTCCAATGGTTCTGTCTTGTATCTGTGGAGGGGAAGTTTTTAGGAATATGTAGGACATTTAGCAGATTTCAGAGTTCCTGTGGCCTTTGTAGAACAGCCAGAACATGTGAGTTACTTGACTGAGTGCGAAAACCCTGCATTTCCACTCTGATTATTCACAGAGTGAATATTTTGATTCTTATCGACACAAATCCCTAATTTTACGTTAAATGAGGCTGTTGAGCTATTTTTCTACTATCAGAAAATATTGAAAAAAAAAAAAACCAAGTGTATCATTTAAAGAGTAATAGTTAGTTTGAGAACGCTGGTGGGTTGGCGTGATTAGTTCCCAGCGACTCTTATTATCGAGCGTTGTTTCTCTGATGTCGTACGTGTAATGGCAAAGAGATATTTTATATCTGTGCAGGTTCCATTGCATGCATGTATTGCAACATTTTAGTTTTTGCACTAAGCCTTTTTCAGCTGTTATAGGCTGTCGCTTACCATGGCCAAAAGCCAGATATCCAGACGAGGAAGTGTCCCGAACTGGGTTGATACCTGCCGCAGTGGGTTCTAGATTGAGGATATCTGGTGTGCCAAAAAAAATCATTCAGGTCACTGTGTCCGTGCTGGTATAATGTTTATATTTTATCATGTAATTTGTGGTTGTATGAAGACATATGTTAGAGGAGTGTGCATCTGAAATGTTGAAAATTATTTATGTATTAACGCTAAAAACAAGAAGAAGAAAAAACCTGCTTATTAGCACTCTGGCATGCATGACAGTCTTGAGAGATCCATGGCCTTCTACGTGTTCAGAGGACGATCTCTGAAACCTCACCATCCTCGAGCGGCATTTTAGTGTATCCATGTTACAAAATGTTCAGATTTGTTTTCTCGACACTTTGATTTTTAATTGTTATCTAAGCATTTGATTGGTTTTGTGGATATTCAGAACTTGAGGAATATCCGATTATGTCTTCAGACTAGTTTGACGTGTTACGTTCACGCCTCCGGGTCTCCTGTAGGCTCGGTCCGACAGCACAAGGACGCCTGACAAAGCTCGATTTTGTGTCGAGCTCATCACTAGCTTGTTTTTTTCTGTTCAATCTATTGTGTATTTTTCTTTTTGCTGGGTTTTGTTTGACACTAGTTACTGTATGGATATTTATATAGTTTGTAGTAGCAGTACCACCCTCTCTCGCTGCCATCTTGTTTTTTTTGTTGTTGTCTTTTTCAGCATTACACACACACAAATGCTCAAACGTGGCAATGACGAGAACCGTATTTAGTGACTGAGAGCTTTAACTTGTCTTGCTTCTTTACTAGTTTTGTGTTTCCAGACCATTACATGTGGATATCATGCAAAGCACAAGGTGATGCCTTTTAGACATATGCTTGTATTTTATTGAAAATAACAATAAGAAAAAGAAAAAGGGGGGTCTTTGTCGATTGTAAGCTTTGTAGATAAAGTTAATTCTCCCTTTTTTTTTTGCTCCTAACGTGGAACTTTTTGGTTCTGATGAGAAGATGTTGTGTCTGCCTTGTCTCAAAATAGATTTATCTGTCTGAATGCTTCATCACACACACACCCTCCTCCTCCTCCTCTGAGATGCTAATATTGCACAGGATAGAATAGGAAACACATCCTGTCAGATTACTGGAGTTCATTCCCATGCAAGTCTGTTTCTGCAAATATCCTTTTGGGGTGTTTTTTTTTTTCTTTCTTTTCTCCGAGACACATTTCGTCCAGTTTGGGTCGGGTGCTATTATCAAACACTCCTCACCTACAAACCTACAAATCGAGCAGGAGTGAGTGACTTTTAAACTGTTGGAAACTAACTTGAAGAAATGATGTGTGAACACTTGCTAAACTGGTGGAAGATTTGCATAAGATTAAAGTCGTATCAGCTCCCGTCTGTCAAAACATAATCTGGAACTGCCTCCATGTCTTTAGTGTGTGTGCCTCTGTGTGTGTGTGTGTGTGTGTGTGTGTTTGTTTGTGTGTTTTAAATCTCCCTGTGTCAAACCACTTACTGTACTGTATGTGGGAGGAATAGATCGTGTGCACGCCTGTGTGTGTTCTCTCAGCCTCGCTTCCACTCCTCTCCAGCACTGCTGCAGCCTTCAGATAGAGTGAGAGGGGGGGGAAAGAAAAAAAAAATAAAAAAAATTATTTGCTTGGTGCTTATTGATGATGATAAATGATTTATAATTATTTTAATAAATAATTAAACACAAGCTTCCATGTTGATATTCTGTGCCATTTACACTGCATGGTGTCAGCACGCCAGAGGGGGAAAATTGCACTTGATATCCATCCAAGCTACAGTAAGGGTCTCTTTAAAAAAAAAAGTGCTGTTATTCAGTTGTGTACAATATAAATACAAGGGAAAACCCTTTAAAATAATTTTGACAGTTTACCCCGTTAGGCCACGCCCCGTCCGCTCATGCCGCGAATGTATTGGTCCACGAATTCACCCCGCGCTCCGATTGGTCAATTCCCGTAGGTTTCCCTCAGAACTGCAAGACGCCGATATTGCGTTACATTGTAGCAAAATGGCGGCTGTCATTCAGAATCCACTAAAAGCGTAAGTAATTTAGACATTGAGGAAATTGTGAATAATTACTTTGTTGCCAACTTGTGCGTTGAACGCGGCGGCTCGTGCATGTCATTTCCAGCCGTGTGCATGTGTCACGCTAAGCTGTCCAAATTCATTTTTGTGTACTTCTTGCATGGCAAAGTAGCCTCGTATAGTTCTTTTATTCCACCGGATTCCAACATTTAGTGTTAAACATGTAACGTGGGGCTGCCTGACATTTTCCCTGCACCGGAGGAGCGTCTCGTCCACACGGCTTTGCACACAACACCGGAGAGTGTCGTCTTTCCTGGGCTGTAAATTTATTTGAAAACTGTCGACAACGTGCCTTTGCGCTGCAACGAATAATCAAAAGCCGATTTTCTTCGTGCTCGGGTTGGGGCACAGCGGCGGAATATCATCTGACATTCCGAAAGTCGTTTATAGTTGGTGTGAATTGTCGACATGTCAACTTTGGCTCCTCCGAGCGCAGACGTGGTCAGGACCCGGTAAAGCAAAGGGAGGAGGCATTTTGTATTTGCATGCTTGCTGGCGAAATCGACAAAAGTGACAGCAATTTGAGTCCGCCGCTGAAAATAGACTGTCAGTCGGAGCTCACACAGCCCGTGCAATGGTCGTTTTTAACCACCTCAACTTCAAAGAAATACTCCACCTTTTTTTTTTTTTTTTTCTCCATTTTTCCTCCTTTGTTCTTCTGTATTGTTTCACCAATTCCACTGGTAGACGTATTACTGTAAGTTGAGGCACACTTAGCCTCTTAGCTTCTTGGCATTTGGTGTTAAAACTACTTGATAATTCGGTTTATGTTTTAAAATGCACATTCAGGTGTACGTGACAGCAGCAGCAGCCAGCCAGCCAGCCAGCCAGCCTGTATTGATGGCTTATAATCATCATGGCTCTTTGGGACTGTGGAGGTAGAGCAGGCACTCCACTGTGCCTTTAAGTGGAGGAGTGCTGGAGATTAGCTTGGTCCAGGATCCTGGGCCCATCTGTCAGAGAGATGCTCCGACAGGGAGGAAGTGTTGGGCACAAGCAGGAGAACCATCTGCTCCTCCACAGAGGTACCCTGCCACCTCCGTGGACTGTAGCACAAGGAGTGGACCTCCACAGCTCCTTGCACATCACCCACACTGCTGCTATTGTTGTTGCTACACCTTAGAAGGGATGCAGCATCATGTTTTTTTTTTTTTTTGCACCTCAGGGTCCATTTCAAACTATTTTTTTTCTCCCCCCATTGAGCATTTTGCACAGATTCCACGCATCCTCCACCTGCACACAGGGAAGGACTGTTAGCTTAATGAAAAGCAAGAGAAAAAAAAAAAATCTGTATTTACTCATTAGTCGACTGAGCGTGCTTGCACTTTTCGCACAATGCCCCGCTTCACAGTTTTGCTCACCAGGGAATCGCCCAATACAATCACAGCTTCCCTCTGCTGGCACCTGAGCAGCTCAGTGAAGCTGCTTGATGTTAAAGAGTTCAATGTAAATGTTAAATAAATAATTCCGCTGCCTCTCATCTCTGCTTTTTTTCCACCAGAGCAGGATTATTGCTGGGAAGTACATTTCATTGTTGACTCTGTCTTATGTCCCAACAAGCTTCTGTGTGCGTCTGCTGTCAAGCTGCTGTTTCATCTCGGAGACGTTTTAGCATTCTGATGTGGAATGTCTCCTTGCTATAAGCTGTGCTTAATGAAGTGTTTCAATCTGCTATAATTAGCCTCTGTCTCGGGTTTCTGACTTCATTTCACACGTTTGTCAGATTATAATTAGTCACACTTGACACTAATTGGATGTCGCTCCTGTGGACCAGTTTGACCTTTTTTTTGTATTAAGATGATTCACTTTAGGGAAATGAAAGCGCCGGTTTGACTTTGTTGTAGAGAGATGTGGCGGATGAAGCCGCTGCGTGCAAGCCTGCGCACGTCTGTGTGAGGTCTGTCCCTCGTCTGAGCTCGGGACGGCAGTAATCTCCAGAATCTGCTGATTAAAATGGAGTCTGGAATATTTAATTAATAAAGAAGCACATAAAGCTGCTCATTAAAATTTGAGCCACAGCTGGAGTTTTCTGAGGGGCTGGACACATCTTCCATCCTCCTGAAAACAGCCTGATCCGTCCTCCGGTTCGTCGGCCTCCTCGTCCCTGGTGTTGGGTAGACTTTGAGTGAGTCAGGCCTGCTGATTATTGGCACTGCAGTGTGCAAGGTGTATGGTCTGGTTTTACTCCTGCCCTCAGCCAGACTGTGTTGTTCTGATTGGTGTAATGTGGGGTTGTTGTGAGGATGCAGCCTCTCTCTGTAGGCCCTCCCCTCCCTTGTTATGTGGTAGCTCTGGCTTCCTGTGAAGCAGCAGTGCACCTGCAAATTTGAGAAACCCTCCAAACAGAGCAGAAGAGACAGAGCTTGTGCTTTTAGATTCGATTTTTTTCTCCCCCCCTCCACCTCATACATCTTTTACGTCAGCCACCCCTCGAGGGCGTTTTAAAGTTTTGTCATGACTGCAGATCGCTTCTTAACGCTGCTTCTCCTGCACGCTGTAGTTTGTCGTCAGATATGCAAAATGTGTGTTGACACATGCTCACATTACGGACGCAGCCATGTGACACGGTGAACCGTTGACAGGAACACGCTGATAGCGGAGGCCCCACTGGCCACAAGATTTGCTTTTGTTCCCCGCCTTCATGCACACACTCACCTTCTCTGCTCAGCTGGAAGACGCCGAGGATGTGTAGCACAGACCTCCGAGGCCCTGACACGCACACAAGTTTCTGGTGTTTCTAGTTCACTCAGAGTCCCTGGGACGCTGCCACCATTAGGCAGCTAGACTCAGAAGGATTATCCCGGTTTAGTGCAACTTGGGTTTTATTTTTGTCAGTTTTGGGACAACTGTTTTCACCAAACTAATTGCTGAGATCTGGGAACGCAGGAAAATGAAAAGTCCAGCCGACGACCAGTCAGGCAAAACAAGTAAACAAGTTTAGCTAGATTACGTAAACCAGCGGTTCCCGACCCTCTCAAGCGGTTGCAAGATAAATTTGAGGGGTCTCAAGATGATTAACCTGAGAGGGAAGCTATATATTTATACCATATGTTTGAGCGATTTGTTTTCATTTTTCCGGCCTGCTTCAAATATTTACTTGTTTGTGAATGACTGTATAATTGCATTCTGAGGGGACTCGGCGACGTTATTTGTTAGCAAAACTGAAAATGTTTACCGAGAAGAACCGTGTGAACACAAAGAATGCTCGTACGTCACGGTGGATGCATGGAGCCGGTCTGTAAAGCCGACTGGATCTTTACACCGGACAGTTCAGGGAGCAGTTCTTCTGCTCGGCTTCCTGAGTTTTGTCTGATTGTTTCTGGCTCGATCAGATATCATAATCGGACGTTTTCCTGCACAGAGGGATTTTTAATACTCCACAAAGAGGTTTTAAGAGCCCCCGAAAGAGGTTTTAGTGGATGCTAAAGGAAAATCCCAAATGGTAAACCGACGAGAATTGAGAATAAAACATTATGTGCACGTTATTTTAAGCTAGTTTTGTTAATTGGGGTTAAATATATGGAAGCAGAGTGGACATTTGCACAGTTTGCAGCTTATAAATGTGTAGATTTTTGTCAAATAAGGTAGAACAGACACATTGGCTTCATTTTAGTCGTGTGTAGTCGACCCCCAGAGGCCTGCTCTGAGCCAGGTTCTCAGATCACAGCGATTCTCGTGCTTGATTCAAAACGGATGTAACTGATAGAAGTGATGGGCCCGCGCAACAAAGGCAGCACCTGAGTTGCAATAAACTGGAGTTACTCTTCAACCGCTGCTAGATTTCATCCGGGTCAACAGAGGGACACAAACAGAAACACGCACCTGAACGAGGGGAAGAGTCACCGGCGCTGACATGAAGGTGGCGCCGGTGCGAGAGGTCTGACTCTCCTCCTGTGTCGTCGGGTCTTGTCACTCATTACAGGTGTCAGGAAGATCTCTCACCTAAGTCTGTGCACCTGCTGCTCGGGGCGGCGGCGCTCTGATGGAGAGCGTTGCGCAGACAAGCCAGCATCCGCCGCAAGACTTTCACCCACTTATTTGTTCCGTCGCTTCCCCCTCCTCCTCCACCTCCTCCTCCTCCTCCTCCTCCTCCGCCGCCCACCCGAGCCCCCTTCACATTTCACTTGAGACTGATCAGCATCCTCTCCTGGTCTGTTTCGACTCGAGTAATCACAGGAGTTTCTTGGCACCGGCAAGCGTGCGCTCGTGGCCGACTTCGGGGAGCGTTTTACAGCTGGTCTGCTTTTAGTAAACTGATATGTCACACCAAGTCCCATCACAGCTGTGTGTTGATATCAAGGAAGGGCAGTGAAGCACACAGGTTAGTGTGACGGGGATTTACTGTCGGAAACGCTGCGCCTGCTCCACATATGGTGCAGATTTGACAGGTTTTCTTTTTTTCTTTTTTTTTTACATTTCATTACACAGCTGCGCGCTATTATTTTTTATTAGCCAAATATTTATCCTAAGCTCCTGATCAAGCTACCGGTGAACATGTCAAATCTGTGAACTGGAGTGTTGAGCTCTGTGGCGAAGCTGTTTTGAGTCTGTGTGATTTCTCTTGTAAAAATTCCTGCATCTTAAAGCCTGAGGAGAAATCAGTGT